GTTTTAGACCGCTTCGTGTTTCCATCTGCTGACTAGCTTCATGGTGATGCTGATTTCCTTTTCTAGCAGGACTAAATGGTTTGCTGAATAAGTTCTTACTGAGGTTGATGGGCAAGGCAGCTTGTCCGACCTGAACCCCAGAAAGAATCAAAAACACAGATGAGCTATCAAAGCAATCTGGGCTTAACAGAGCTGATCACCTCTATGCCACGCTGCATCGACGCTATAAAGGATATTTCATGAGCTATAAGGTCATCACGGGCTGTAAGCTAATCATCAAAATAAAAAAAAGGAAAAAGCTAAATATATATTACAATATTGTAATTCTTTATTTAGTTTTTGCACTAGTATTTAAAAATCTTAATAGAAATTCAGTTAAAGATCAGAATACAGAACAAAACACGAGGATGATGGTAGATTTCTTTTCTTAAAAGTAATCCAGCATGGCACTAAATCACTCCCTGTAAAAAAGAATTTGTCACATTTCTTGTTATATTACTTTTGGATTACTCAGTAATATGCCCTGAAGTGCACTCTGACACAATGACCAGATAACAATATAAACCTGAGCTATAGTCTCCCATGCTGACACAAATCACTATCCTAATCAGGACATACATGTGCTCTTTTTCTTAGTCTTTACATAAAACCACAAAAACAACATCACAAAGCAGCTGAAAACCAGCTCAAAGGAATTCCCTCAGTGATTTTACTTTAGAATATATACGGACAGAAATGAAGTCTGCAATGCTGCAAGCCTGACTGCTCATCACCACTTTTGTTGACTGTTAAGGTTCAGGCTCTGGCTACATCCTGGTTCAGCATATGCTCAGCTTTAACATTACTCTGGATTCTTCTGTAGCTTTATGTCAGCATGCTGTTTGTGTAGACGTATGCAAAGAGCAAGAGTTGTATTGGTTTTGTCCCAGATGCAGTTTGCACTCTACCAGCGTACTTTTGCCTTTTTGTGCAATTAAAATCAAAGTAAAGTCCATATTTCCATTCCTCAGAAAACATTGTTGTAATTTAGTCTGCCTCTGGTGTGGTATTGAGAAATTTTGAAAGTCTTTCACTGCATTACCTAATGTGGATAGTTGTTCAAGAGCCAAAGACCACTTGTGGAGAGCTACAGAAAGACCTGGAATCAGCAGGTACAATTGTTTTGAAGAAAACAGTAAGTAATGCACTCAACCGCCATGGACTGTATGCATGCATCTACTAGGATGATGAAGATAAAACGCCGGTGGATGTGTGATACTGAAAACAGGAAACTCTCAACTGTTTTCAGAGAAAGAAAATAATGGCTCAGCCAATCTGTTGACCTCAATCGCATTTAGAATCTATGGAGAGTACTAATGCTCTGAGTCCATAAAAGGGGCCCACAGAGCCTCAGAACCTGAAGACTATTTGTGTGGAAGAATTATCAAGCATCACACTGCACTCGACTAGTTTCTCCATACAGGAGGCATCTTGAAGCCGTCATCACCAACAAAAACTTTTGTACAAAGTGGTAATTGCATTTCGGTAAGCATGTTCAATACCTTTTTTTGTGTCATTTCTCATTATTACACATTAACTACTTAATTTATAGATAGATAAGATATTTTTATTGATGCCCATGGGGAAATTGACTTACAGCAGAAGACACCTGACATTCAAAAACACCACATAAAAAACAAACACATCACCATAAAAAACATAAGCACACAATACATAGACACTTTGGCTTTCCTTATATCTTAGGGATGATTTTATACCACACCAACTTGGCAGCCTATGTGTTGCTTATGTTCAGAATTTTGATGGCTTGAGGAAAAAAAGATCATTTGGACGTATTTTCTGTGAACAAAGTGGGACAATAGCGCTGTGCAGATAATAATAATCCAATAATAGAAAAGGTAAGTGGATGCCTTACATCACTCACAATATTATTTGCTTTACTCCATGCCCAGTCCCTAAAAATGCTTTCTAAACTTGCAGTTTAGAAATGTAATAGCAATGCAGTTCCAGGCAACTTACTAGCTAGTATCACTGTCTTTCTAGTCATCTTTTTCTGTGCCTCAGAGACATTTTCCAAACCAACAAATAATACAAGAACTAAACACACTTTTAATAAAAGCCCAACAAAACATATGAAGCATTTTAGTTATGTTTTATGGTCGAGCATAACGCCCAGACATTTGTATTCAGTCACACACTGGATCAGCTCTCCATTTAATTTAGGCTGGGATACTGGATTCCTCCTCAAATCTACTGGCATTTGGTCTTTGTGGTGTTGAGGACAAGATTTGCCCTCTCACACCATTTAATAAAATATTCAAGAACTGGCCCATCCTCCCCATCATACATGAGGCTCTCTAAAGCTGTATCATCTGCATAATTAATAAAAAGTCTGTTTTGAAAGGTGCTATTACAGAGGAAAAGTCCACAAATAAAATCTTGGCATGAGCCTTTGCTTTTTCCAGATGAGCATGTAGTAAGCAGCAAAATTAATACAGCATCTTCCACCCCTCTCTAGGGTTGATAAGAAAATAGCATGAGGTCTATAAGACCTTGAGTTTTCGATACCATGTACCTTTTCACCACATGTTCAAAACATTTTATGCCCAGAGATGTGGGTGCAACTGATCTGAAGTCTTTTGGACCCAAAGGTCTAGGGAACTTTGGAACAGGAACAGTTACTGACACTTTCCAGATATTTGGTATCGTATGACTGTTAAAAGAAAATCAAACAAAAAAAACTGAAAAATATTTTTCAAATACTCCCACAGACATTGTCAGGATCTGAACTTTTTGGGGGTTTACAGCCTCCGAAAACTTGCAATACTTTTGATTCTGTAATAAAGTCCAAGGAAGGAGTTGGTGAGGACGGCAACTCAACAGCACAGTCATTTCTGCTGCCACTATCAAAGCAGCAGAAAAGGGTGTTTAGCTGATTGGCCATCTCCAGACCCTCACTAACCTGCAGGTTGAGGGAAGCCTTCCCCCTACCTTGATGTGGGACATTTATCATGGGTTTGATACTCTGCCGCGCTTCTCTGGAATTACTAGATGTGTCACAGCACCCTCTAACTTTTGATTGTACTTTTAATTTGTCTCTGGAGGTCACTTCTGGCTATGTCATCATAGTCTTTAAAAGTCTTTTTCTTCATTTGCATAACCTTTACAAGTTTTGGATGGGACCACTAAATTCACACAGAAATGTATATAATCAGTCACCTGTTTGGTACAGTCATTAATGTTAGCACTTTTAAATACTTAGACATCTATGGTTTGATTTCTTTGCATGTGTGGATTAGATGGGTTGTTACTAACATCTAGTGAGAATTTTATGTCATTAGCGCCTCTAGAAATATATTTTACATAGAAAAACTGTGATGTGTTCAATGCTTATTTACCCACTGTATATGTTCAACATTTGACATAGAAAAAAAAATGTGCTGAACAAAAATAAGATTCACTAAGTATTTATGCAAATTTTGATCCTGTTTTAGAAGATGAAACTCTGAGTCAGTTTAATGTAAAGTGTTGTAAGCAGGCTTTTCACACGTGCTGTAGCAGAAAAAAAAAAACTGCATAATAAGCTTGCGAGCAATCCAAAACAAAAGTGTTGTAAAACATACCTCCATCGAGACACAGTTTGGACCTCCACTCCACAGGAAGGAACTCTACATGCTCTGTGGTGCGATCTGAGAAGTGTTTCTCCTCCATCTTTCTGGCAGCATCTCTCATCCTATCCAGCAATTAAAAATAAATAAACTGTTACTTCCAAAATTACTCTAATTTTAATTTGTTATCTGGTCTTGCAATGGAAACACCATAATTTCTCACATGCTGGTGTTCCTGATAATGCGACCCTGGTCCATCTTCTGGCCAATGCCATGCACCACAAATACAATGTGTGTGGTTTCAGGTGGGGTGTCTTCAGGTGCAGCCTCTTCCACGTACCCTCGATGGAGACGTGTCCCACTGCTGGAGGCTGAGGACGTGAGAGACAGGTACAGGGCTGTGAAAAAAGTATTTGCTCTCTTCCTGTTTTTTTTAGTCCATCCAGCCATTCATCCATTTTCTTCTGCTTCTCCAGGGCCAGGTCGCGGGGGACGCAGTTGAATGCCTTCTTCACATGTACTTCACATGTATACTGGTAGTCAAACTCCCATGCAACCTCAAATATCCTCAAAAGGATAGGGAGCTAGTCCAGTGTTACGTGACCAGGACGAAAACTGCATTGTCTCTCTTGTATCCGAACTTTCCAGCACCCCCCCCTATAGTTGGAGCACCACTCTGGTCTGCCAATACAACGGTACCACTTGAGATCGCCACATGACATTGTAGAGGCGTGTCAACCAAGACAGCCTTACAACATCCAGAGCCTTCAGGAACTCAGGGTGAACCTCATTCATCCCAGGGGCTCTACCACCAAGGAGCTCAGTAGCCTCACCCCCAGTGATGATTGAGTCATGCCCCTCATCTGCTTCCTCTATGGAAGACCTTCCAGTGTGATTAAGCAGGTCCTCAAAGTATACCTTCCACTGCCTAACAATATCCTCGGTTGAAGTCAGCACACCACCCCATTATTCACCGTGTGGGTAAAGCACTGTTCTACCCCTCCTGACTCACAGAACCACTTCAAGGCAGTCCAAAAGTCTTTCTTCATGGCCTTACTAAACTCCTCCCTCACCCGAGTTTTTGATTTAGCCACTGCCTAAGCCACATTCCACTTGTCCTGCTGGGACCCATCGGCTGTCTCCAAAGTCCCACAGGCTAACCAAGCCGAGTAGAATTCCTCACCAATGGAGGTGCGGAACACGGTCCGTTCTGACTCAATGTCCCCAGTCTCCCTCGGAATGCTGTTGAAGCTCTGTCAAAGGTGGGTGCTGAAAATCCCACATCAGCGTTGAAGTCTCCCAGTAGCACAACAGAGTCCTTAGGTGGAGCACCCTTAAGAACACCACCCAGGAACTCCAAAAGGCCAAGTATTCTGAACTGTTGTTTGCCACATAAGCACAAACAACAGTCTTCATTCGTTCCCTGACGCAAAGGCATAGAGAACAAACACTTGCACTCACAAGGGAAAAATCCAACATACAGGCAGCAAGCCAATGAGATACCAAGATACCCACCCCAGCCCACTCCCTCTCACCAAGGGCAACTCTAAACAGAGGCAGAGTCCAGTCCCTCTCAGGGAGACTAGTTCCAAAGCCCAAAAGATTCAATTGAGGTGAGCCCGATTATATCTTGCCAGTTGCTCTCAACCTCATACACTAGCTCAGGCTCAATCCACCAGACAGGTGACATTCCATGTCGTGATCACCAGCCTCGGTAGCCAGGATTGTTTTAGTTTGCTGCACAAATGTTTAAGAACATAAAACAAATTCTAAAATATAACCTGAGTAAATAAAAAATCAGCTCAATATCACAAGCAGCACACAGGTCTGGTTACTGCTCACTTAAATAGAATCTCTCTGACAAAGCGAACTAGGCAAAAAAAACACAATTTTGAATATCAAAACAGCAAGTCCACCTCTGAATGGCTGAAAAAAACAAAAACAAAATTAAAGTTTTGGAGTGGCCTAATCAAAATCCAGACTTTTTTTTGTTGAAATTATGTTTAGTTTCATGACATATTTCAGCTCAGAAGGACACTAAAACATCCTCGTCTTTGCAGCAGCTGGAGTTCCTTGGTGACTACTACTGTCCTGTTTCCCTGATCCTGCATGGAATGTCAGCAGTACTCACCAGGTCAGCTTCGTGGGGTGCACCCCATTTCTCACCCAGTGACAGCTGGGATAGGCTCCAGGGTCAGATGACCCTGAATTGGATAAGCAGAAGAGGATGGATAGAATTCTTGGAATAGACAGAAAGTTTTAATCATCCTATATACCTTTAGAGAAGCCCAGTTTCTGAGTTACAGTACGTGCAATCTTCGAGGTGGTGGCATCGCTGTACAGATACACCTCATCCACACTGTGCCAGTCCACATGACTCCTGTTCAGCTTCAGACTGTGGCTAGCTGTGAGAAGTCACACTGTAATTAAGAGCAACTGACATAATTCATGCAGAATAATTAATTCACCAACTCCCATGACAGTATGCAGAATTGGAGTTAATTGGATCACTGCATTTTAAAATGTGTTACTTTTTGTTGATTATGAAAATATTTGACTTGTTATATATTCTTATTCCCATGGACAGATATAACTGCTGTGAAGACAGAATTCCCCAAATCTGGAAATATCTTATTTTATTACAGATTTTAGAATCAATAAACCCATGCATTATAGCATCACTTGACTTATTTTGTGAACTTCCTGTAAAAGACCATTCTGGCCAACAGAGACACACATCTACAGACATGGTTGCAAACACTCATCTTCTTTGCCTGACACACACACAATGGCATCTCTCTGTCTTTCCTGTCTGTTTTAAATTCCCTACCGTCCTTGCTGTCCACTGTGGTGGTCACTGCCTCGATCTCATAGGTGTCCCTCATCTGTTGCCCCCGGAAGCGTAAAAGATGTTCCTGCTCAATCAGATCACTCTCATCCTCCTCCAGTGGAAGCCAAGTTCCATCAATGAACCACTGGCCCCTCATCACAGGAATTCGGTCTTGCTCTGTGGAACAACATGTGAAGTTTATAAAAACAAAAATTGTAATCTAAGACAGAATGTTGGATCCCAGTAACAGTAAAGATGAACTAATTTTGAAAACATCAAACACAAAATTTTAAATTATTCATATCTGTCAGTGTGTGTGTGTGTGTGTGTGTGTCTAATCTAAGAATACTAAGCAAATGTGTAATTATAGGTTCAATTTAGAATTGACCCAAATTAGTTCATTAATATATTAATATATACACTATCATTAAAAAGTTTAAGAACATCCCTACAGAGAAATTGCAAAGAAAGTCAAGGTGTACAGTACAGTTTCCTTCACCAACAAAAGGCACTCAGAAACTGGGGCAAACGCTGACAGGAAGAGGTCTGACAGACCTATAGCCACAACTGAATCAGAGGACAAGTTTCTGAGAGTTAACGGCTTGTGTGATAGTCGGCTCATGGGACAACAGCTTCAAGCACAGCTTAAGAGTGGTCATAGTAAGCAAGTATCACTTTCAACTGTGAAGAGAAGACTTTGAGCTGCCGGTTTGACAGGACGTGTTGCAGCAAGAAAGCCATTGCTAAGAAGTCAGAATAAGACAAAGAGGCCATGAAACACAGACATTGGACTACTGAAGACTGGAAGATGGTATTATGGACTGATGTGGAAGAGGAAGTGTGATGGTCTGGGGCTGTTTTGCTGGATCCAGACTGGTGACTTGTAATAATAATAATGGATTGCATTTATATAGCGCTTTTCGGGGTCCTCAAAGCACTTCACAATTCCACTATTCATTCACCGTGCCATATCGCACCATCGGCCCCTCTGGCCATCACCAGTAGGCAGCAGGTGAAGTGTCTTGCCCAAGGACACAACGACCAAGACTGTCCGAGCGGGGCTCGAACCGGCAACCTTCCGGTTACGTAGAGAATAAGAGGCACCCTGAACCAACACGGCTACCACAGCATTCTGCAGCACCATGTAATATCCACTGGTATGTGCCTAGTTGGTCAGGGGTTCATCCCACAGCAAGATAAAACACAAGCCCAAGACCAGACCAGACCAGGCCAGACCTACCTCAGAAAAAAGAACAAGATAGTAAGCTTGAAAATATGGAGTGGCACAGTCCAGACCTAAACTCCATCGAACTGGTTTGGGATGAACTGGACAGAAGACTGAAAGCAAAGCAACCTACAAGTACCCCACATTTATGGGAACTTGTGCAACAGATATGGGAACTTTATGGAAAAATATTTTATGTCTATTGTAGAAAGAATGTCCCGGGTTGGTCAGCTGTTATATCTGCCAAAGGGGGCTACTTTGATGAGTCAGAATAAATGTTAGTCTATAAATTAATTCCATGGTTTCTTTTTCTTTTTTTTTAACTCTAATTGCTTAATTGTACTATGCTTTCATTTCAGAGTGTAATAGGAGAATAAAGTGCATAACTTTCAATAAAAAACTAGAAAAATTGCAGTGTTCCAAACCTTTGACCAGTAGTGTGTATATATGTATTCCTGCTCTCTGCTCTACATCCCTGTAAAGTATTGCTGTTGTGTTGGACAAAGTCTTGAGAAGTCTCCTTCTAATATGTGACTAATTGTGCGGAAACAACTGTATTATTGTCTCGTTTCAAAGAGCATGTCTAAAAACATGCTTGTTAAGTGAACTGGTAGTTGGAACGTGGCCACGGATGTGAGGCAGATAAAGCACTTAATGTGTACAGAATAAAGCGCTGAGTGAATGCATGGCTCAGTGTGGTCTAAAGCACTTTGGGTGGTCAGTAAGACCATGACGATGTCAGTAACAGAGGACGTTTTTAAAGCAGCCTATTAGCTCAGTCCTCAGAGCTCAGAGGTGACAGAGTCAGCAGCAGCAGACGTTTCATTTTCTTAGAAGTGGTCAAAGATACTGACAGCAGAACACGTGCTAACAGTCCTAACAACAGCTATGTCATTACTGAGATGCTCACGGTTCCAATAAACAGGGTAGCATTCCTTTTCTTTGATATCCACTTCATAAAGGCCCCCTCTGACACACACTGCCTCCACGCTGGTGCCGCCGTTGTGGACCGGCTCTGTGATTTGCTCTGACACTGAGAGCTGTTGCACTGCCGGTTCCGCCCTGAAACTTGCACTGTCCACGGCCGAGCTTTCCGGCTGCAGCTCAGAGGACCCGGCTGTCTCCTTTTCGTCGGCTTCATTGGGATCCAGGGCCTTATCCTGGTTCTGGTCAACGAGCCGCCGGTAGATGATCTCGATTTTTAAAGAATCGTGTCCGACGAAAGGCTTCCACGTCCGTTTGTCCTCTTTGTAAAACCAGCGGACCTCCTCTGGCCCCAGCTCTGTAACGATGTCACCGCGGTGCCGGGAGCTGTTGGACCGGATGCGCTTTTTGGTTGTAAGGTTGCCATCGCTTTCGGTGTAGTTTGGCTCGAAATCCAGATAGGATGAGGCAGGATATTCAACCCGATCCAGGCCCAACATCATCCCATCCAAGGGCAGACGCGTGTCCAGTAAGCTGGACTGTGCCGACTCCTGGTCCCCATCACCGATGCTGTCCGCTAACACGCTGTCGTCAAAACCGGACACAAACACATCGTTTGCCATGTCCCACTCACTGCTGCTCACAGAGTTATTCTCGGAGCTCTGCTGCCGAATAGTCCCTTTTTCCTTTATACTGCTCATTTTTAGAGTCCACAGGAAAACTCACAGTGATGTCCTCCCAGCAGACCAGTGGACCCGATTAACGGTTTACTTTTCTGCACCTACTCACTGTCTTTCTTGCCATTATAGCTACACATTAAAGCTGAACAAAGTGGAGATAAATCCCTGCTTTCCTGGCCCCATTTGCATCCTCCTTTCTCTGATAATGGCTGGAATAAACACAATAAGCTATGATGGGATTCGCAGTCGCTCCCTAGTGTTAGGTAAAATACGAAAAGTGCAACTTCCTGTTCAAACGTTCAAAATAAACAGATTTTTCACAATAAGACGAAAATTGTAAACCCAACTAACGCGTGCGGCAGGACGCACACAACGCGCGTGCGTCCTGCGCGCGGTGAACTTACACATCCAGCTACAGACCTTTAATTTGAAGATCAGTCTGTTTTTTCACTGGTTTATTCAAAATCAGGTCAAACAATCGTCTGACATTTCATCTTATACTGTTTAGAATTTTGCTAAACTGACTATTAACCTGTCGTCGTGTCAAAATTAAATTCCAAAATACAATTGTTTGTAATAGCAGGAATCCCACGGTGCATCCAGTTCAATTAAGTTTTATTTATCCCGCGCCAAATCACAACAACAGTCGCCTCAAGGATCGCTCGATCCAGAAAGTATTTACAGCGCTTCACTCGTACCAAATTTTGTAATGTTACAGACTTATTCCGAAATGGATTCATGACAAAGTGAAATTCCAGGATTCCAGTGAGCGCAGTGACCTCTATCATCCATAAATGGAGTCTTCCTAGAGTTGGCCAAGCTGACCTATTTGTTAACAGTGCTCACAACAATTTTTCGAGTATGCAAATATCTCATAAACAGAGAAGCCATGTGAAATAAATGGAACCCAAACTCCAGTCTCAAACAGTCAAACATCATGCCCCAGTCACACACAACATCCATGAGGAAAGTTTATCAGCTGAACAGCACATGACATGCAGTTTCAGATTCTAGTTTCAGATTCTAGGATCAAATCTTTAGGTGACTCAGCCCCTGTTCATAATGTCATGCATAAAGTCCTGAAATTAATATTAATTATTCAATCAATATTCTGCTTTCACACTGGGTAAACAAACAAACAAACAAACAAACAAAAACTTTCAGTTATCAATGGATGCTTACACAGCTACAATGTTCATTTACAACAGTGTCATATTTGCTATGTCCACCTCCAGACTGTCACAGAGCTTTGCACTGCTACAGATAGACAAGCACACAGCTTCCCCCCCCCCCCAGTAACAGGTTTGTAACACTGAACAGTACTTTAAGATGAATTTAAAGAGGTCAGTAAAAGTGCTTTTCAACAGCTCTGGAGTATTAAACAGTTTTCATGAACATGGGTGTAAACATGGCTGGCACACACATTAAGATAAGCTCTTTAACTAATAATAGTTAGTCGCCTGTTATGATTAACGTAGTGGCAAGTAGATTTCAGGTTGCAGATGGAATATTAAGCTGTTTAGATGTGGAGAACATGGGGCAAACCAGGAGTGTTGCTGGCAGTGCACAGAACCAGGGGAAGCTGAGAGCTTCGAGAAGTAATCTGAGCAAGCAAAGACTGAAATGTGGACCAAAGCTGTGGAGTCAAATGGGTTTCCATCCATCCTAAAGATCTGAGCTGAAGATTTAAAGCTGCAGACTGAAGCTGGTCTTATGCTCCTCCGTTTTATGCTGTCTGCTGCACTCCAAGATTTGGGCCACTCTTGCTTGCATTGTTGTTGGTCAGTCCACCAGCTACAGAGAAGAATGAAGTTATAACATTCAAAGATCTGAAAGCGAGAGTTAAAAAATATGAAAAGTGTGCACTGCAGCCACTGTCTGTCGGCAGGGCAAAAAGGAAGGGGATTAAATATAATAAAAAGACAGAAAAGCATGCTGTATGGTCAACTGCTGCACAAAATATAGTTGATAATAGGAGTGAGAAGGGACAATAATTTCACCCTAGTGCATGCGGATATCACTTTGTATTAGTTCTGATGGATTGTGCAACACGAAATCCCAAAGCAGTGCTACTGTGCACCTTTTTTTTTTTTTTACAAAGAGTGTTGCACAGGAAGCAGTGAAACGAATGGCTGAGTTTCAGGCCATTTTCTGAGTTGGCATCCTGAAAGAAATACTGACTGACCAGGACACATCGTGTATGTCTCGCACACTAAAAGAACTGCGTGAATTATTGGGAATTACCTTTGAGAAAGTCATGGTGTTAGACCTAAAGAAAGAAAACTGGAAGCAAGGTCCAAGACCAACTAAAATGAGATTTAATACATTCTGGACACTCTGGGGGCAAAGCTTCACATGTTAGGGGTGTAGATCTCCTGGAACACCATTTGGAGACGGTTACCCTACAGGTTACCTGAGCATTAGGGACAATTTGTTCAAAGAAATTGTCTGAAATGCTAAAAATGTGAGTAATAGAAGAGTCACACAGTGCCTGGTGTAGCCCCGTAGTTCTTGTAGTAAGGAAACATGGATCTATCACAAGGTAAATGAGGTGTCACAGTTTGATGCATATCTGATGCTTCGGTCGACTGTGTGAAGACTCGCCTGATTCACCTGATTCACTCATATCCATGTGCATCAGGGTCGACGATGATGCTTGGTTGCATCGGGGCAGACAACAGGCTTGGCAGCTTCGTGACTACAAGATGGCTGCAAACAGACGGAACAATGACCTGTGGCATTTGTATAACCTGTATAACTGTAACCACATACAACATTTGTGCCCAGAAATGCTTTAAAATGTTAATTGGTGTAATAAAGGTTCTCAAATAGAAATAAAAACAGGGTTTTTGCAGTATGGTGTGTGGACGTACTCTTTGTCTGAAGGTTGCTAAACTCTTGAGGGACACTTATTGCGAAACATAAATGGTGACTCAGGTCATGCACTATGCCAGCTTTTCTTTTTGATTACTTCATTGTTCAGTAACTATCAATATGTGAAGGAGCTCTGATGGTAACAATGGAGCTCCAACTTCCAGCGAGAACATTACAGTCAGTCAAATTCAGACAGATCATTATTACAGTACAGTCGCAGAAACACTATTTTGCAGCCGATGACCTCGCAATTCTAACTTAACTACATCTCAGGCACACTTCCCATAATATTCGGCATAATTTGAAGTATTATCTGGAAGTGGAAAATTCAAAATGCGTCTAATCTCCATGTTATTGAATGCACTTCTCAAAAATACAGCAGGATGTGGTACTCTGTTCTGCATTTCCTCCTGGTTGTTGTAATGAATAATCACATTGTCGGTTTAATGCAAACTTTGCAGCTGAGGTCCTAATCGATGCACTATCTTCTACATTGTTTTGGTATAAGGTTACCTAAGGGTTGACAGTGACAAAAATTTGGGAAGCACTGGACTTCCGAATTTTCACTTAGTATATTTATCTCACTTAAGAGCTCATCTGATATTTGAATCTCAGATTCTAATCGCAAGTCTTCGAGAGCCTCGTTTCTGGGTGTCAGCAAAAATGTTTAGTAAAGAGACGATTTCAGACTGATCTATCTCCACATTCAAATGTAAAATAAAACTATTTCTAAAAATACACATACATAGAACGGTATTCTTTCTTTAATATTAACATTGTTTAAGTCACCAAACACGTTGTGCAGCATAATAAAGACACACATTGCTGTCCCGGACCAGCTGTTATATGAGAGATTGAGAGATGGTCTCATTTTTGTTTCTTTAATGTTGTCTAAAACACCATCATCAGTAAAAATCAATTACACATTCATCTGTATTTTGAATGGTGAAATCAGAGTCTGAAAGAGTAAACAGTGAAAAACATTTCAAACACGTAAAGAAAGGCTACACCATGTCAGAGGAAGCTACGATATCAAATGTATCAGCTACCGTTTCTTAGTCTTCAGCTTTGTACATATGTAAAACTGCATTAAGGTGCTATAATTCCCCTGTTATCAAAACGCTGACAAAAGAGGCATGAAAAATAACAAATCTTTGGCCAGGTAAAATTAACACCCTGCCTTATCATAAGCACAGCAGGACACCACCATCTGTTTTAATCAGCTCTGAATTGGCTTTGGTCATCACAGAGGCTTATCTCCCAGCGTGACCTTCTGAAATCCCCCTTTGTCTGACTGATTTGAAACATAAAACCTCTTCCTCAGAAGGCCGTAAAATCAGTTACGTTTCCCACTGGTCAGCTCAAAGCCATTCTCCCCGCTCTCTTGTTGGTCTAAGCGAGAGCCTGCCTATCCCATATCGCAGGGATAGCTCAGTAGGTAGAGTGGCGGCCCCATGATCGGAAGGTCGGGGGTTCGATTCCCCTGAACAGCTACCCTGAGGTACCCCTGAGCAAGGTACCGTCCCTACACACTGCTCCCCGGGCGCCCAATGGCTGCCCACTGCTTCACTGAGTGAATGGGTTAAATGCAGAGAGCGATTTTCCCCACGGGGACCAATAAAGTACACTTTCTTTCTTTCTTCTTTCTATTGGTGATTCAGGGAGGAGCTCCCAGACAGCCAGTATTGTCAAGTGTGGACTTGAAGTTTGTGAGTTGGTGTATTTTTTTGGTGTATTTTCCACATGTAAAAGAGAAGGATAACACAAGTGAACACAAAATGCAGTATTCCATTATGATTTTTTTTGCTTCTACGGTTATAAATCACAGGGCCAGAACTCACTTTCTAAAAGTACTCTTATCCCTCCTTAGTATGAATGAAAAATGCAGTTAACATTTACATGATACGCGCAACTTTCTTGCTACTTTGTTGTTATTTTCGTGAATGGTCGGATGATCCGTCACAATGAATTATGGGGCGGCGTTTTCTCCTCCCCTCCTCCCCTTTCACAAAGGGTGGTCCAGTGTATCCTCTGCTAAAGGAAGTGCTGATGCTTCTTTCCTTAGTATTTGGAGAATATGAACAGCTCTTACTTACTATGACAGTTATCAGACTGTTTCAAATTATGGAAGAGGATTAAAGTCACTGGGGGAAAATGAAAGTGGGTGGGCACATCTTTTTTTCCAGAATTCTGAGAAAAAAAGTTAGGTTTCTGCCTTTTTTCTCAAATTTCTTTTTTCAGACATTTTCTCAAATTTTTGTGATATTTCACTCCACACCAGTTGGTGGCGGTAATGCACCATTTTGCTGTTTGACAACCACCAATACATAATAAAAAACAAAAAGAAGAAGAAGCTATTTCCGTGTTACGTCTCAGTGAGAACCTTGCTAAGCAAGATGGATTATTGGAATGAACCCAAGGTGTTATATGAGGTTTTTTAAATAAACACGCTTATTCTTGAAGCTGATGTGAAATGGCAGGGGTGTTTCTAGCCACACTCTACGAGTACTCTCCGCTCTTTTATATTAGTGTGGTGTCGCTTTGTTTCGTTGTAACCGCTGCTATGGTCCTCGGCTGGTAAGTTGTATTTAGCTAATATAGTTAGCCACACTTTGATATATAATTTACATTCGTTGTCACCACACAGGTACCCTTCGACTTTATATATTAACGACTTGAATGTGGCCTTCATGATATAACATAGCATGTAGGTCAGGCGCAGCGTGCTGTAACATGTCTATCAATCATCTTGCTTATTTTCTGTTGAACAAAATACTGCATTGACCTTTAATTAAAATAATCCAAACTATTTTTTACAGTCCATTAATTTTCACGGTTTCAGAACTAACTGGAGAAACTATCATAATTAAAAATCTGAGTTTAGTATCGTTCACATTGATACTTTAATCATAATGTTTACAGTCACTAATGACTGCCTTAAGACTGGAACCGACGGGCAAAAACAAATTTGATGATTTTTTCCCTCGGTGATGCTGCCAGACAATCATAGCTTCTGCACTGAGCGATCAATCTGGGACTTCTGGGCTTTGTTATGATGTTTGTGTTCCGGTGATGGGTGTGAAAATGTTCTTACCACACTACCTGGCGTTATCTACGCTAGTGTACTCACCATTGCTTAAGTTTGGTTTCTGGGTCTCATCGGGGTGCACTTTAGGGCTGTGGGTATTATGAAGATTACTAGAACAACCTCACAAATGTGCACACACAAACAACGAGGTGAAAAAAATAATGGGCTAGTGATGTTTCAAAATAATATTCGTTGTCAGAGGCCTCGACCTGTAGATGATAGTAAATATGACATGTGACTCGAGTAGCGCGGCTCACCATTTAATTCTTTTCTGATCCCCCGCCCAAAGGAGAAAAAATAAATAAAATCAATGTACAGGAGTCTGGCGTGGTTGTCTTTACTGTCCAGGTGGGTTAATACCGAGTGCTGTGAGCAGTGATGTGTCAGCAGGGAGCACACCTCTGTGGTCTTCCAGGTTTTCTGATTGCCACATGTAGTGAAGTTCTTACCTACAGTGACATCCTCTGTACACTGTGCAGTGTTGCTGGTTACTGTCTTCGCATACTCTTGGATGTTTATGTGGTCTCGCCGAGAGGCTTCACTCAGTGTGCCTAAAGTAGAAGTGCTAAGGCTGCATCCTCTGTTTGTCATTGGCTTTATGTGCTTCAGTGAGGTTTGTAAGCAGGTACAAGCATAATGGAAAGATGATCAGGTGGGGTCAGGGGGTTGCCTTGTATGTGTGTTGGTGGTTTGTGTACACCAAGAGTCCAGCATGTTCACCCCTCTGGTTTTAAAGTTGTTGTATTGCTTGAACTTGGGGAGCGCAGTCTTGAACCTGTTGTGGTTAAAATCCCCTCCAATCACAGCAGTGATTGGAGGGGATTGTTTAGGTAGAAGCCCAAATTTGCTGTCGTGTAGTCCTCCAAGTGCCTAATTAGAAATAACCTTAGCACTGGGAGCAGTGTACACAATGGCAGTGATAATAATGGTGAATGGCTGGCGTTTACACTGAGGAACTCTGCCATCTGTCATTTTTTCTCCTTGACAATTGGTTTTTCTTCCTCTGAAGTTTTTGCTCATTACCTGAATTTCTTTCATTTTCCAACCTAATAATTGCCTGTTATTCTTGAATATGTTATTCTGTGAAATGGACATGCAACACTTAGAAACAATTCAGACGTTGTATCTGGTTAGCTGATGAAGAAATAACAAATTGCTCAATCCTTTTACAATAAAGTTCAGAATCTGCACTTGAGTTGGATTTTTGATTGTTGATAATTGGTTGTAGAAACATTTCCAGGCATAACTGTGTCATGTTCTAGACTACAGTCAACATAGTAGCAGTTAATTCAGAAGAGCATGTTTCTACACAGCCAGCCAGTGTGTGCACCCCTCTGCATTTAATCGAATTGGTTTAGATTTAAGCGAGAACACCACCAGACAGAGAGACTCTGCTTACTCTCACCTCTTTTCTGTAGGTTTGGCTTTGACGTTCCAGTTATACTTCGCAGCTATGATGAGCAAGAGCCTAGCTTACCAGCCGCTGAGAAACAGATGGTTCAGGTGACCAATCCCTTCGCCCTGGAGTTGGGTTCTGGATCAGCAAGTGTTACCGGTGAGAACAGATGAGGAATGAAATAATGCTGTTACTGGGAAAAGGTATTTTTTTGGCCCAAAAGTATTTGGGGATGTGAAACTTCCATGCCTGCCTCCAGAAACATCCGTTAACCCTCATATTCTAGTGTGTTTCCAGAGGATGGTGTCCAGCTGGATGTACTAAATAGAAAAAACTGTAAATCTATTGACTGCCAAGAGAATGTTTCTGTGTAGTCTATATAATTATCAATTTGATTTGCGGTCTGCTGTTCAATGGAAAGAACTCTAAATGGTGATGCTGTGGAACACTGAACCTTTTTCTGTTTTTGCTCTGTTCAGACGGTGTGCTGGTGAGACCTTGTTGTCTGGAGTCCTGTGTCCTGAGCTGTTTCTGGGGCTGTGAGGTCAGTACCCTACAAGGAGTGCTACATGCCCACCAGCATGGCATGATGCTCAGCACCCACCAGCATTTCCAGGAAGCCCTGAACCTCCACTACTATTATTGCCAGAAATTCCAGTATCCTATTTGTTGCTAACCAAGTATCTCAGTGGTATGCCTCTGTCAAACAGTTTAGACTTAATCTTTGACCTGTGAGATCTAAAATTGTGTTGTTCAGTCGAGCTGGAGTGTAGAAATTTCTTCTTTCTTTTTTCACACTGTGTGTCACTCCCCTCTTCCCTCACTCCTGAACGAAACCCAGAGACATCTAAACTCCCCTACTTGGGGCGTCAACTCGTCCTTGACCCAGGGTGGGCTCTCCACCCTTTACTGGCCTCAGATTTAGAATGGGAGATTTCTATTCCTGCTATTTCAAACTCTGCTGTGAACCACTCTAGTGCAAGCTGGTGGCCACCACCACCTGACGAAGCCAACAGAACCACATCATCTAAAAAAAGCAGAGACGAGGCTGAGGCTACCAAAGTGGAAGCCTTCCGGCACCTGAATATGCCTAGAACTTCTGTCCATAAAATTTATTATGAAGAGAATCAGTGACAAAGAGCTCTAGCGGAGTAAAACACCTACCAGAAATGAGTCCGACTTATTGCTGCAATGCTGGTCTAATGTTCTACGACCAGGACGAACGCCACACTGTTAAGATTCAACTAATGGACAAATTGTCCTTTCCAGTATCCTGGAAAAGACCTTCATAGGGAGACTAAGGAGTGTGATCCCCTGTAGTTGGAGCACACCGATGTTGCAGCAGCCAGCCTTGATAGCCGGGTATCCAATTGCTAGGGCCTGTGCCACTTCCCTCTGCCTGAAACACATTGCACCTGACCCCAACGCTGTGTCCTGGAGGGGGTGGGCGTGCCCATGTTGTCTTTTTGGGGCTCCTTTCTTTCCGCCCAGCTGGACCAAGTGGGCTAGGGTCCGGTCATCAAACACTCTCCTTACAGCATAACAGCATAGTCCCTGAGATCACACAGTGGAGATGTGGCTTGTTTCCGCTTGTAGGAACCTTTGAGGTCCATTCAGGTGATTGGCACTGGACTAATTGTTACATGTGGTCTGTTCACGTTCTTGTGCCAATGGCAGCAAAGTTTGTGCTATTAGTCATCAGTCAAAGCAATCATTTCTAACATTTCCGCTCTTTGACTCATTGAGCTTCATGCTTTATGAAGGAAGACATGAAGCATGTCTTCATGTCTCCTGCCGTTAGTGTCTTTGACCTTCTCTCAGCATCAGCAGTGAAGATAGAGCGGAGCGGCACGCACAGATCCCCGCTGATCAGGGCATCACTGATTTTGGACCACTGCCAAGACAGCGCTACCCTCTCGTGGCTGTGCTGACCCTGGAAGAGGCACAAGAAAGACACGTGAACGACATTGTGAGTTTAATCATTTAATGTATTTATTTTATAAACATCTCCAGTTTGTCTTAAGGCTCTTTATACTGTGAGAAGGAAACCCACACAGGAAGGCCCCAACTGGGATTTGAACCAGGAACCTTCTTGCTGTGAAGCAACACTATATCATCTTGCCTTCACTCAGGGTAACAGTGTGGTCAAAATGAAGAGGGGCGTGGGGGGTAGAGAAAGTGGGCAGTGCATCATGAGAACTCCCCGAGCAGTCTGATCTAACCCTAACGATGAGTTTTATCTAATAAGAAAACTTAAAGTGTGTCAAAGTGGGAGCAGCCGTCAGTCAGAGAACAGCAACACTCACAGTGAGTTAAAAAAAATGCAGATTTACATGGTGAACTGGTAGAAGTGATTGTAAATGTTTTCTCTTTCAGGTGGCTAGTGTCATAGTTATTCATGTTCCTGATGACAAATACAAGCTTTCTGCACGGATTCTCTTCCAGTACCTCCTCACCTCACAAGGGAGCATGTACGAGTTAAAGGTTGGTCAATAATAATAATAATAATAATAATAATAATAATAATAATAATAATGCATTTGATTTCAAGGACAACATTAAATGTCAAAAATAACATAAAAGGTCCACTTCTTTGTACATTCTGATGTCAGTTTCATCAAACTGTCAGGACTTTGCTGTTATTTCTAGGTTGATGCTATTATTCTTATTAGTATTATTCCTTATACTGAGACCATTGTTATTCTGTCACTGACAAATTCAAAAACTGAGGTGAAGAATTGGCCAGAAAATGCACGAGAAGAACAAAACGGAATAGTTGTTGGCTTTGTTCAGTTATTTTTCACCCATGGTTTCAGAGGGGGTTGCGGTTATGACTTCATTTCCCACTGAAGCATAAATCCCAGTGACTCCTGGATTCTCCTGTGTCAGCGCAGCCAGCCAGCAATCAAGAAGCACTTGTGTTTAAAGGCCAAGAGTGAAAGTGGACAGTCTTTCCTTGGTTTTCACCATTAGAGTCATTGCTGCAGCCACGGCCAGCACAACAAAAAAGCAGCTTTTTTATTTAACCAACAATACAAACATCAGGAAGTTGGTTACTATTCTGTAGTGCCACATTATGGCACATTGTGGTTTCTATGGCCCTTAGAAACCAAAAGAGCAGGCTCTCTTAGTAGAGCTAGAATTCCCGTCACTTGCAGGATGAACACTCAGAGGAATTCACTGACTCTTCTTGCAGTTCTCACCCTGATGCAGATTACTGCAGATGCCTATCAGGCAGATCTTGTGGCTTTAGACTAGCAAAATGTCACATATTTTGTGTCGTGTCTGTCAGTGTCAATACACGTGTGAAAATCTCCAGTTTGCCAAGCACTTAGGGCCTTGTTACAGCAGTTTAAGAAAAACCTATCTCTTGTCTCTTGCAGCCTCTTTTCATGTCTGCTGACAGCGGGGGGATGTCTGGGTCTGCTGATTCGGGGCACACTTTCACACCCAGTGACACTCAGAGCGAGGATCAGATCCCAGTGATGGAGGAGGAGGACTGGTCAGAGGGGACGGAGGGCAGAGACTGTGTGGTGTGTCAGAATGCAGCAGTGAACAGGGTGCTGCTGCCCTGCAGACACGCCTGCATGTGTGACAGCTGCGTGTCCTTTTTCCAGCACTGCCCCATCTGTAGAGCCTTTGTCCAGGAGTCGTTTGCACTGACACAGAGCAATGACTGTCAGTGAACTGGTGAACATGATAGAAGAGATGACTACAAGGATCTGTCGCCTGTGTGACAGGTGTTTTGGTTAGCAGCAGATCAGACCTGTCTGTGCTCCTTTAAGGTCTGGTGGCTTTCTTTAAAACATTCTCCAGGACTTTACAGCGTTACCCAACTTCTGCAGTGCTTCAGCTAGCCTCTGGGATAGTTTCCTTTCTACGAGAGTGACACTGCCTCCACCATACATGGAAGGATGTTCTCGGGTTGTTCTGCAGTACTTTTGTTACACTAAACAGTTCCTCATGTTCACTCAGTTCTTCAGCAAACAGGAGTGTTCACAGTAATATTGTGATGTTTTCTGCCTCCTCTTGCTGAAAGTGGCATCACTGTGACCGCTTATGTTGTGGTTGTTACTCACAAAAGTAATGGATTAGATATTACTTGATAATCTTCCTAAAAGTAATACATTATATTACCTATATTCACCACTTTTGTGTTACTCCATAATTGTCTTATAGTTACCAGTTAATAATTTAAAACTACAGTTCTGCACAACATGCATACAAGCTGTGTTGTACTTTTGACATATGAACAGAAAAACAGCCCAGAGTGATGGCCGGGGTGATTCTATGGTAGAAACAGGTGGAAGTGGAAGCTACAAGGTTATTGTTGGCTTTGTTTTTCTTGTCCTTTAATTCAATAAAAAGATTGTCCAGAGTTTAGTTTCACTGTTGATGCTCATTAACTAAACTCTGGAACATTGTCCAGCTCCAACTTCTGAGTTCTGTGTCAAACTACACAGCAAAACTTTGATGCATTAGAAGGAACAGCATACATTTTCACTTCTATGATAATACTTTATCTTTCCGTGATAATTAAACTGCAGGTGTTTCTGTAAGACTTAAAGACCTTGATGACCTCTAATTTCTTGTTTGCTTACTCTGGATGGCATCATCATATCAAACGTAGACTGAGCCCATGTTTGACGTTTGTTTTTATATTTTCATTCAGTCTTTTATTTACAGCATGTTTTAAGTGACAATATAATGGTGGAATATGTTTTATATGAGCAGTGTGCAGCCTGCTGTACTAAAATCAGTGCGTCGCATGGTCACCGGAACATGCGTGTATTAATTTGGTGATTTATTAAATGTATGAATGTTGTACTTGATTCTAATCTGCTGCTGAGTCTCTTACGCTGAAGAAAATAATGCAGATAACAAAGAACACACATCACGAACACTCGTTCAACCAATCGCATTCATTTCACTTTGACCTGCAATAAACTGAAGCATTCATCTCTTTTACAAGTGTTCCGTTTGACTGCTATATTTTTATGTTCTTTACGATGCAGGTTTTCCCATCTCTGGAATAGTTGGCAGTAATAAGGATGAGTTTATGTTGATGAACACAGGTATGACCATTAGATTACTTTGATGCTTTCATGTGCCCATGCTGGGAAACCTTGGGTTAACTTAGAGCTCCTAACCTCTTATCCTGGTCCCAGTGTTGGGGTCAGCAATTCCAGATAATGGAAAGATATCCTGGAGATGCTGTCCTCGCTCCATGGTGTACAGGGCTCTGAGGCAGCAGCTGGACTGCCTGTTTAGCCTCATGATTATTATTCACAATAAAATATTAGTCTGTGTTTCACTAACAAGCCTGGTACAGTTAAACCAAACAGTTACTACATGACGGACACCAATGTTATCCATTTTAATAAAGTTTATGTGTGTATACACAGGTCATGCTGATTATTGAACAAAAACTCAAAGATCAGATGTTAATCAGATTTATTTGCTCTCTCTCCTTTAACATGTTTTTAATGTTAGTTATAATTCAGAATTGGTGACTGAAATGAGCATGACACATACGAACATCACGAGAGAAAGACTCAATAGTTTAGTTTCTGTTTGTTGTTGGCGCTGAGAAACGCCCGCTGAAAGGCCAAAGCAATGGTGTTGACTCGACCAGCGTTAACCCCGCCCCCTGACTGTGATTGGTGAGGCTGACTGATAAAATTAATTCATGAATTGGCCCTCCTGGCCCTCCATAGACACCCTCTCTACTTTTAGAAATAAAGCATAGAGTTAGGACTGGATCCATTTACACTCCAATAGGTCTCAGCTGCTTCCCATGATGTACCAAGTGTTTCTTCTTCAATTACTGTGTGTTTATACAACACTCTGCATTAGTTACTCATTAGTTATTCTCTGGCGCTCCTCCTTTCCCTTCACCCTCAACTAGTGGTCGCAGACGGTCTGCTGGAGGTTTCTTCCTGTTAAAAGGGAGTTGTTCCTTCCTATTTTTGTGCTTGTTCATAGCGGGTCATCTGACTGTTGGGTTTTTTGTATTATTGTGAGATCTTTATGATCAATATTAAAGAGCCAACTGTTGTTGTGCTTTGGCGCTATATAAATAACACTAAATTAAATCAAGTAGGACCTTCACCATGGATCCATAAAGTTTAGTCCATATTATTAAGTCCCAGTTGCTGCCATCTTAAAATATGCATTTCAAAGGTTAATATCACCCTTCTAGATAAAAATCAGAGACTGGTTGAAAAAGTTTAAAAGCAGACTAAAACATAAACTGAACACCTCTGTGGTCATCTGTGGATGTGATTAGTTAACAGGAGCATGTTTTTGTCAAATTTCCATTTCAGTTGTGAATAATTAAGAAGAAAACTGAACGATGGAAATAAAACACAGCTTCGGCAACAGTTGTATTTGTGGACATAAAGCCGTTTTATACAAGTGTGGATTATAAGACAGAGCCTCTTTCATGTGGTGTAAACACTGAGGCAGGTTCGACTAATAAGTGGAAACAGCAGGTAACGTCACTATGAAAGTCACTTTTGGCAATCTTAAAGGTGGAGGGATTTTTTTTTCCTTTTTCCTTTTAATACCGCTTCCCAAGAAACAAACTTTAACACAGCAAATCCATGACAGAGGAATAAAAAATAAAGAAAAGGACAGACAAGTTATACAGGTTTGTAGTCCAGCTTAGACTCGAGCTTCTTTGAGTCCGCCACCTTCCTCACGGCCTTCATAAAGTCCTCCTGAGTTACGTACTCACGATCTGAGCGGATGGCAAATAACCCTGAAAACATACACAGAGCCATGTGAGAGAAGAGCTTCTCAGAGCTCATCATAGATCTGATAAGGAATGATCATCTGACCTGCTTCTGTGCACACGTTTCTCAGGTCAGCTCCATTGAAACCATCTGACAGCTTCACAATGGCTTCAAAATCTGAAAGTAATCATACAGTTAGATCCATGAAAACGGAGGTCACGTGTCGATTATTCTGCAACAAATACATTAACAAAAGCATTCAAAGAACAGAGACATGTACAAGTCATGAGTAGGCAGCAAAGAGGAAAGCAACCGGTTGTTCATCTGAGGGATTTTTATCAAGTTAACATGCTGAAACTTCCAGGCAGAGCACCTTAAATGAGCAAACTACCAAAGTAACACAGAGTCCGTTTGACATTTGGATAAGTGCAGCAGGACTGAGGTGATGCTCGTCTACTCACCTATTTCTCCGTGCTTGGTGATAGGACTGGAGTGAATCTTAAGGATGTCAAGACGAGCCTGCTCATTGGGCAGTTCAATGTCTGAGGAAGAGACAAAGGAAAGTGGTTTTCCTGCGTGGGCTCACATAGAGCTGACAGAGAAGCTGAACAGGAGAAGTTCTTACGAATTTTGCGGTCCAGTCTGCCAGGCCGCAGCAGGGCAGGGTCGAGAGTGTCAGGTCTGTTGGTGGCCATGATCATCTTGACTCTGTGCAATGTGTCGAAGCCGTCCATCTGATTCAACAGCTGAAAACACACAGACATGTCATGTATTCTGTGTGATTAAGCACTTGTCCACTGCAACGGCAACCATGTTACTGGTGACTACAAGAATCAAGTTAAAAACAACAAATGTTTGGAAAGGTCTGCTTCAAACGAACAACCGACATACTGACGTGATGTCTTATTGCCTAAACAGACCCAGTACAGACGATTGAAAAAGCGTGTTGTGCTGTTAATGTCTTTGTGTTAACATCTGTTATAATAACAACAGATGGGTGGGGTGGCTGCGTCAGGAAGGGCATCTAGGGTGAGTTGATGTGCTGCTTGTGAGCAGCCAAAAGCATTTTTAATCTCACAGACTCAGAGAATCGGGACGCTTTTATTGCTCATGTTAGGATCACAGACGTTCTCTCTTACAACACTGTAACCACACAATTTTACTTTCAGGTAAACTTGTCTCCTGTATAGAAAAATGGGAATGTGTGGTATGTGGATAGCATAGTGAGTACCAGCCCAGAAATTTGGAGTACTTCTGATTCATGTCACACATGGCAGAACAAAAGTGGAGATGCTGTAGCTCAGGGGGGAAAGCAGGCGAGACACTAGCCCCAGTATATAGAATATAGAAAGTATTTAAACATAGAAAGTGCTTGTATGTATGGGCGAATGAGGCACGCTGTATAAGAACCAGTCCATTTTAAAAGCTTTGCATCAATTTGATGGAGATTTTGTGTGTGAGCTTATTTCTCGTGCAGGGTAAAAACGTGCATCCTTACTCACTAAGGCTCAATTATACTTTCATTTGTACTTTGCTTTCAAATTCATTTGGTTTAGTACGTTTCTTACTGTAGATAGTCACTATGTGACTGCAGAGTTACAATAAACTGATAACTGGCAGTTATTATTGGCAGGGACTGATACAGCTAAGGACACCCTCCAAGTACAATACAATTCTGTAGAATGGAAAATGAAGTCCAATGAAATGTTTTTTAGTTTTTATAAAGGCACCTAAGCTGGACACTTGGGGTATTGGGTGGATTGAGCACCTTCTGGCTGCAACATGAAAGCATGACGCAAAACAGGCGATCACACTGTTCCATATTTGCTGTTTATATTCAAACAACAAAGAGTGCTGCTGAGTGGTGTTTTGGTGCTTCTGTTACCTCCATCAAAGTCCTCTGAATCTCTCTGTCAGCTGAGGTTCCCTCTGAGAAACGTCGGCCACCTACAGGGAAAAACACAAGTATCTCAAGCACCCTTCTAACAATTTCACTGTAAATAAATGCTCAGTGCACAACTCTTTTTTGAATGAACTTTGTGCTTGCTGTGTCAGTATTGAAGCTCACACCTGTGACATGTCTTTACAAAGTACTTCAATTTAATTCAAACTGGTGACAAGCAGGCAAATAAAAAGACAGCTCCTGTTTTCAGTACGTCTTAACTTTAAGTATGATCTGAATTTTGGAAATACGGCGTTACTACTTTAACAAAAGAATTTCCCAAATATGGGATAAAGCATTTCCTATCGTTCTCTGTAGAGCTGACGCTGACTTACCAATGGCATCAATCTCATCCATGAAGATGATACATGGCTGGTGGTCCCTGGCATAGTTGAACATTTCTCTGATCAGCCTGGCACTCTCACCAATGTACTTGTCCACAATGGAGCTGGACACCACCTACAGCAGCCACACAGACACACAATAAGCTGAGTGACTGTGTCCGAGTGTGGCAGTACACTCTGATGGAGCTGCTGAGACTCACCTTCAGGAAATTGCAGTCCAGTTGACTGGCCACAGCTCTAGCAAGAAGAGTTTTTCCAGTGCCTGTTTCACAACAAATCACCACTGACCATTAGAAGTACTGGTTGTACGGATTTCAAAAATACTACATCGTGTTCTACTCGATTTATCACATTCACAGACTTGGGTGTCCATGCCACCCGCCTGTCTTCCTGACACCAACACCCCCACCAGGCTTTTACGGCTGATTGATTACATTATGCTCCCAACGAAGAATCAGTGGGGAAAAAATTGTTGCACCCATAAAACAAACATACCATGGATGTATGATGAAGCCTATTGGCGTATTCACACCATGCGTTAAGTGAAAATTGGTGTGATTACATCAGTTCAAGAAGGTGTATTGAAACCAAGACAAGGCTGACATTTTCAGCTTAGGCAACAATTTGCTACACACTGCATCGAGGTGTGATTAGAGCATGTAGCCTTTAATGTGTACAGCACTTTGGCTTGCACTGACAACCCAAGGCTAACTAGAGCTGTATGTTCAAAGTCACTTTTCGCATATGAAAAACAATGAAGAACTCTAATTGTGATTAAAATCAGGTGCAGTTGAAACACTAGTGACAAATGAGTAAAATTCAGCTTATTCACCCTCACTTTAACACAAAGACAAGAAGAAACACAGAAGACTCTTTGGACTAAAATGAGTGAAATCACAGGATTTCTTGGCAAGCTGTGAAAACATTGTATTCTAACTTGATCCTAGCTGTTAGATGTACTCTTCCTCATGCCATTGGCCATTAGGAAGAAATATTCATAGGTTTATGAATGTTTTCAAGAGAATAAAGCATTGTATTGTAGGGTCTACCTTACAACATAAAGTACCTTGAGGCAATTATTGCTGCGATTTGGCGCTGTAATGTGAAAACACCAGGAAATGACAGTTACCTGGGGGCCCATACAGCAGACAGCCTTTAGGAGGAATGATGCCAACTCTCTGGAAAAGCTCAGGGTTGGTCAGTGGGAGCTCAATCACCTGCAGGAAAACAGCAGCAGCCCCATTATTGTAGACTCATTTAAATATATAATGTAAAACAATGACTAGTGAAGGTGAAATCAGACAAACAAAATGTAATAAAACACTGGAGCCAGTCACACTGAGATAAATAATGCAGAGCACACGAGAGTTGAGGAGGATTTCATTTTTGTTGTACCTCTCTCAGCTCACGGATCTGTTCAGACAAGCCTCCGATCTCAGAATAGGAGACGCTGCCAGGGTCCTCATGGGACATGTTGTACACCAGAGGGTCCACCTCCCTGGGCAGGTACCTGTGAAAAAACAGGCCACACATACACTGGCATCATCACATAAGCCAAGTTCAGGAAGCTTCCTTTTTATTAAGTTTGCAGACGACACCACCCCGATGGGCTTCAGCACAAATAGGGATGGGTATCGTTTAGGTTTTATCCGATACCGGTGCCAACCCGGTACTTTTGAAACGGTGCTTAAAGAATGGAGAACACAAACTTTGTCCAAAAAACCTCTCATGTTTAGCTGTTTTTTTGTAAAAAGATAACAATGTTAGCCTTTTCTGCAGCTATGGGGCATATATGGTATCACTCTTGGCTGGAAGCAGTGCTTAAACAATGGAAAAAACACAAACTTTGTCAAAAACCTCTCATGTTTAACTGTTTTCCACTTTTTCTTTGGTCATTTTAGCCTTTTTGGCCAGGGTGAAGGGAGTATCTGCCATCAAACAAGAAGACAGCCGCATGTAACTACAACGCTGTTTGCTAGTTCACCTTACGTGCATTAATGTAATAACATGGTTAACCTACTAAACGTAAAGTACACACGAACAACATTAAGCTACTCGCCCAGAGAAGAACGGCTGCTGCCATCATCATTTCTGCTACACTGGCAGGGCTAGGGGCCAGGACTCTCCTCTTTTGGTTCTTGGGGGATGTTGCTAACTCCGGGTCCGATAACAGGCACCACACCCGCAGTAGATGTGCTCGGTGTGAGGTCTCGCAGCAAGCTATCAAATATGGTGCATTTCTCGGCTTTAAAAAAAAAAAAAAACGCTATGCGTCACCAAGTGTTTAATCAGATTTGAGGTGTTGCCTCCTTTGCACAGCATCACCTTAAAGCACTTGTTGCAGGCTGCTGAGTTTGCATCTTTTGCTGTGAAGTACAGCCAGACTTTTGACCGCTTCACCTTGGGCATTTTTAATCTGTAGCTCTGCTCTAAAAGAATGTACGTACCTCGGCCCGCCTACTGTCCTTGGAAAGGTAAAATGATTGGCTAGAATCCCAAAAAATTCTTTCCATCTCAGGAAAAAACAAAAAAACACCGAATTAATGGCACCAGATACCAGTACCCATCCCTAATCACAAAGGGGAATGAGGCTTCTGACAGAGTGGTGTGAAGCCAACAACCTGCTTCTAAACACCTCAAAAACCAGGAAGGTCCTCGTCGCCTTCCGTAAGACTGCAGGGGATTATACCCTCTATGGAGACTGGGTAGAGACGATTTCTGGGAGTTGCAATCATAAATTATAATAAATTATCTCTCATGGTTGGAGAATACACGGGCGATGGCAGTGAGGGCGATGGCAGTGAGGGCGATGGCAGTGAGGGCGATGGCAGTGAGGGCGATGGCAGTGAGGGCGATGCAGGGTCTGCACTTTGTGCCAATCCTCAGTAAAAAGAGACTGAATCAGAAGCTGCTTGTGTCCTTACTTACTGCATCTCAGTGTGGTACAGTGGAAGCAGCAGAGCGTGATAAACACAGCACAGAGGATCGTCAGATGCTCTCTGGCCCTTCCTGGAGGAGATCGCCAATTCCAGATGCAGAAGAGCCAAAAACATCCTGACTCCTCCCACCCAGCTCATCATCTGTTCAGCTTAATGCCTTCAGTCAAGCCCTACAGGTCGATGAAAGCTCGCACAACTAGTATGAAAATTATTTAATTTATATTGATATTTAAAGGAAGCTGCAACTGTGATTTCATTATGTCATATAATGACAATAAAGCAAACCCATATGGAGTTTCCCCACTGCAGCAGACTTATTAATTCAGAGATGTAAAAGTAAACAAACCTGTGTGCTGCGATAAATCTATTGTTTATTAATCAGTGCTGAGGGCCGTACTGCAAAGCAGGAGAGCACTTTGTTGAACTTTCAGTCAGAGCTTTCCTGTGTCATCAAAGCAGCTCTCTTTTTTCCTGGCTGAATTACTATGGTAGCTTATTGTGAATAACAACCTGATAAAAGATGCTGTGTTCCTAATTTGGGTTTTTAGGAAGCTCCACATTTCCTGGGATCTGCTCGGGCCACTCGCCAGGTTTGGGGGTCACTAGCTTGAGTGCTCCGATTACCACGTGCTCTAGGACCACTGTTGCCTTCACCCTCCACATCTTCTTGAGCACCTCTCTCAGCCCTTATTACTTCTTGAGCTTGTTGTGTTCCTTCTTCCTGATGTTGTTATCACTACGGCCTCCTTCCTCTGCTTGTCCACTACTATGGTAATAGTAATACTGTTGGTTAGCCACCACCAGCCATCACCATCCTCTAGGTTGTATTCCGTTTTGACCTCTGGACTTCAGGTCACACTTGGCACAGATGTTTCTGTATACTATTCCAGCCACTTGGTTATGGTGTTCCATGTATGCCCTGCCTGCTAGCATCTTGCACCCTGCTGTTATGTGCTGGATCTCACTGCTTCTTTACACAGCCTGCACCTGGGGTCTTACCTGGTGTGCCTCTAGAAACCTTTTTCTTAGTGCTGTGAGACACGATTCTGGTGAACCAATTCAAAATAATAATCATATCCACCTTACCTCATGATAGTAAGCGTAGTCATGTCCAGAGCCACTCTGGTCCCCGGCTTCAGCTGGGATTTGTCCAACTGGAAGAGTTTCCATTTTATACAGTCAAGTCAGAATTTGTTGAGAAAGTTTGATTAGTGAAAATTAAACAAATCATTTTTAATATGTCACAATGTAAACATTGTGAAGTGTGTTTCTTCTTTAGCTGTATTGACCCAATATACAAGAATAAAGTTAGACTGCCACTGCTGATTCTAAAAATTACATAACTCAGTGCTGAATAATGGAGTACTTCCAGCTGATTTACAACATTGTACACAAAGAAACAGATATGGTCATTGGTACAAAGTCTTTTGTAAACCTATTTTTATTTCCTCATCATTGATAAATTATGAAAATCAAATGACTTAGCACTCAAAGCTCTCAGATGTGACTACAGAGGGCTTCCAAACCCTAAAGAAAATTCTGCATTACAAGACAGCACAAACACTAGAATGTGATCAACCCTTACCTGCCTGCGACATCCAACCACATATCGGGGTCCATTGGTAGCCTTTACAATGACTGTAATTTAGGAGCAAAACACAGATGACTTCAGTCAAAAAACAAACAAACCACACACCTGAGTTTAACACTGTAACACATGTCACAGATTCACATTTGTTATTTCCAGGCTTCAACATAGGTGTTGCATAATGAGCCTGACAGTAGAAGACTAAAGAGAAGTATAAAATCAATCAGCCTTTTCTACCTCTGCTATAATATATGGGAAGACTTACATTTCTCCTCAGTGAGTTGTTTGAGCACTTCTCCAACAATCTGCAGGGAAGACAAATAGTTAGCTAATAAAAAAAAATACATCAGGTCCCTTCTGTTTGTGTTGAAATTAGCTTCATGTACTATAGCCTCACTATTAGTTATTTAACTGGGACACAAAGGGGAAAAGGAGAAAAGAAAAATCACTCTTTTCATATTGTCTGCTGTTAGTTTCTCACCTGTAGCACAAAGCAGCTTAGTCAGCTGAAAGTGTTTAGCACTCTAGCGCATTGGTGGAAACTGCTTGTTTCTGTCTGTTGACTTACAACAGCCAGAAATATCGCACATCTAATTACTGTCACTGGCTTCAGATTTCTGTCATCAGATAACAAGTGAACAGTCTTCTCTTTGCATTGCTTGAGTGTGACTGCACTAATGTACAACGTTAACCTTCAGTCTTTAGTTGAAGCCAAATGATTAATTTCCACACGGTATATTTACCTGACCGACGCTTTGGAGAGCCTTGAGATCATTCTCTGATTTCTCGTACTGTTTGGTCTGTTCTCGCAGCTGCTCTCTCACTGGAAAACAACGGACAGTCAACATGTTTCATACACACACTCTTAAGAGCTAACTGGAACAGTTTGTTATAGCTAATGCTCGCATCAACGTGAAAAGTCAGACGTTAGCTCTACTTATAGCTCTTGATAACGTTAACAAATAATGACCTCACATTCTTAGATTAACCAGCCTTAAAATATGAATTATCCAATGAACGGACGAACTGTATCACTGTCGTGTTTATGCTCCTAAACTGGTAGCGAGACCCGGTAGCCTCCATACATTTCCACCAAGAAGCTAACTGCATGACAAAGCACTAGCTAGCTGGTATGCTAGTCAATGCTGCCTGTCCATCTACAAGTAACCAGTCAACTAAACAACACGAATTTCTAGCACGAACGCAAATATCAGTGTTAAATGTTCCTTTACATTCTTTTAGTCGCCCATCAACTTCTTTGTGTTCCAGCAATTTCTTCCTGTAGTCCTGCAGCGCTTTTTCTCTAGTGTCCGCCATGACGCCCCGCTGAATGATGGGAAAATGCGGTGTCACTCCACTCTTGGTTCGTTCACTTACCTCAGTCAGATAGCGAAATTTCGCGCCCCGTGATGTTGCTGTTCGATGGGATTTATATTCACACACACGCTGCTGCCTGTCATTTTGACATGCAACACGTATAATGCAATAACCGATATAACACTAATAGAAATTAATAAATAAACAAGAGGACCCTATAGAAAATTTACAGAGCTCATCTTAGATGATGACAAAAGATGACGAACGTCCCAACCAAAACCTGAGCCGTTTGTACTAGATGATCGTGTAAATAAAGCTTACATTAAAATAGTCCGTCATAAATTATTTAGCCGCATAGCTAAAAAATTAAAGATTAAGTGCACTTGTGTATGCACACCAAAGATCCACACCTGGCTTTTGGAAGAAGTATGGGGCGAACTCAGGGATAAAAAAAA